TAAGAAGTCTTTTTGTTGGCGTTCTAATCTAAGTAATGATTACATAATTTCTGCCCACAATGGATGGCAGGGATGGATTGAAACTTGAAAAAATTGGACCACATTTTCAAGTTTTATGCCTGCAAAAATCGCCAAAAAATTGTTATGGTTAATGATTTGTTTGATATTTTACTCATATCTGTAACAGATCGTTAACATTGCACGCACGCACGGGTAACAGTACGAAGTAATCATTACTTAGAAAATTATCTGTTGCTGTTTTGGGTCAATTCTATTAGTACAAGCTAGCTGTATTAATAGTCTCTCCTTGTAAGGGAATCTTGATACCGGAATCGAGGAAATTTTTGTTTGTGGATTCCGGAATCCGGGAAAATTTTGTTTATGGAATCCGGAATCCTAAGTTTTAGAATCCGGAATACAGCTCAAGGAATCCAGAATCCCACTAACGATTGGAATCCAGTATCCAAGTTCTACTAAAAAGACTGGAATCTAGTAATTGGAATCCGGAATCCACAGCGTGGAATCCAGAATCCAAGACTGGCTTGGATTACCTTACATCAGGGGCACACAACGTCAATTTTTGGAAAATATCTGTTCGGAAGACGATTTGAGATCTACAATCTTCAGAACATTTGTCGTAAAATTTCTTGCTTGCCTGCCTCTCCTAGGATTTTCGAACATCTAATTCACCTAGAATTTTAGGGAGTCTCTTTTTCTGGCTGACATTTACGAAAAGTTAAGTTTTGATCCCTAGAGTTTTCGGATCACTAGACTTTCAGCTAGGAAATCCGAACAGATGAAAATTTTTTAGGGGATAAAAATATGCCTATATCTACCGTTTAAATACTAAAATACGTTTAACAATTGCAAAGCTATGTTTAAGTGGTTTTGAACTATATTCTCGTTGGGTGCCCCTGTTACATGAGGCGATGATGGAGGAGGACCCAAAACAGCAACATGATATCTTCGTGACATTGCTCATTCAACAATTCCACAAACAGTTCTGTACAAACAAGTTTGCACCAAGGCAAAATTGTTGTGTCCACTGTCAGTCTTAAGTACAGGCGATTTATAACTGACCCCTGAACGGAAACAAATAACATCCGCGCTTTATAAAACAGTTGAAAGACACTAATTTTTATTTTTTTTTTTTTCCTAAAATGTCTACAACCGTGAAGAGAATGGTGGCAATCCCACACATATTTTACATGAACGGCGCAACTTCTACCTCATTCCAGGAAATCGTGGTCTTTTACATAGTCAAGTTACATGCACTATATTTAAATACTAAACATTTTTTTAAAGTGATATGCTGATAGACTTCATTTTTTGTGGCGCGCGCGCGAGTTGTGCGAACCTTAACAAATTAGTGAGGCTCAAAAAGCGGTATTAAATATCTAGTTTCCGGACGGATTGAGACCGAAGTCAGGGTCAGGCCAAGACCGTCAGAATTAAACATTATCCGTTATCCAAACAATTTGAATTTTATGTTCCAAAAGTCCAACTTTAAGACGAGGAACTTTGCTGAGATTATCAGAGGATAATTTGCCTGTGTTTCTTTTCAGATTTTAAGTGTTTTCGTTTACTATTATTCAGGTGCAAGCTCACTCTGTTCGACGGCCGGCGGGGTGGGGCGAGGGTTGCTCCCATGCTAACGTCTCCTCTTACGAATTAGATAACAATATTTACTTGTAAATGGCGACGACAACTTGATAGGCTTATGCATTGAACCTCGACGGAGTCATGGAATATTGTTTTCTCTCGCTCTCGCTGCATTGACTGATATGTTTATAGTTTTAGGTAGGCGGGATTTTGGGGTATGCAGTATGTACCTGGCGTCTTTCTGAATCTGGTATACGGCTTGGTACCGCGAAGGTGGGATTACAACCGGCTGAGTACGTTGCATGCTTACTTCAGGTTTGGCATTAGCAACAGAAATGTTTTTGTTATTTTAATGAAGTGTACGGGTATAATGATATATCCTTCTGTCTTGGGTAACCCACGGCTAAGTCAAATTTCACAAATATTTAAATCCTGTCTTATCTCGTTCGATTTGGTGATTAAGGCAATAAATTGCTTGTGAAAATAGAAAAGGTGGAATGGGAGTCAACTCGGTTCTCACGAGAACACTGATCATCGTCAAGCAACAGAAAGGTTATGTCGTTTTCTTATGTATCTGCTTAGTCATGAAATGTAAGAACATTCTTTTAACTTAATCACTAGAAGCATTTTAAGACTACAAATTCCGGAAGGATATACAACTAGTTATACAGAGGAAGGAAATATGATCGAAAATCCCTTAAAACAACTTAACTGAAACACATATTTAATTGTTTTTTGCTTTATTACATTTCGACAATAATATTCATCCATGACTTGAATTTGTTGAGTCTGTCTTTAGTACTATCAGAGGATAGGGTAATATCCCTGGTACCATTGTGCCGGGCTGATAACGGTTTTATTAACCATGGATATTAACGTATTATATACCGACTAGCTTTATTTGTTCTTGCCTGCTTTAATAATTAGTACAGCTTGTAAAATAGAGCTCAGCAATTCTGGTTAGGCCACGTTTCCTTTTCGTTGGATTGTTCAGTTTGCTTTTTTTTTTTTGCTAGCTAGATGGAACCTTTCCTGGCGCCAGAGACAGATCGTACAAACTGAGGATGGACTTTTTTAATTGATCATTTTTCTCGTTTCAAGGCTTTACTATTCAAAGTTTTAAGGTTTCTGAAATAAGACAAAAAAATAAGAAAAACAATCAAGTACTCTTAACCCTTTCAGCACCAATGGTGACCGGCATCTATTTTCTCCTTATGGGTTTCATCAACGTGTTCAACGTGATGAGAATACAAGAAGAGATCACCAACACGTCTTTGTGTTTTAGACAAATTCTCCTCAATGATGCCCGGAGAAGTGTATTGATAAGGCTAAGGAGAATATGAAAGTTGATATAACGGACTAAACGGCTTAATCACCATTAACTCTGATAAACATCCTGCATTAATAAAGTTGTCTTGTAAACGACGTGGCTGTAGGAGTTCTCGAGGTGCACATAAACTACTCGCCATTGCTGAGTGTCATTTAGATGATTGAAACCCTGCCTCGGTTTAGTAAGTAGCTTTTATAGCTTTTTTTTTTACGTAAATAAGTAATGCGTGGATGCCTTTCTTCAATTCATGCCTATAATATGCTAACTTCGGCGTCTGTTTACTGTGTCTCATAATGTTGTTCAAACATGTATGATGAATGTCAAACAGGTAAAAATGGTATGTATTGGTAAGTAAGCATTGGTCCACGGTGAGTAACTGGGAAGCCTGTGGCATGAAGCGTAAAATTTGCATTTGCGGCTAATCTAGCTAAAGAGTTGTTGTTTGCCGCTCCCTACGGCTTTAAAATTACTGCTCATATAAAAGGTCAACTCAGTTAATTCATAGATGCCCCCCATGTTTGTTGAATAATGTTTTGTCGTATTTGGTCGCCTGAAATTAATTTGCTTGTGTACACACTCGACATTCCATCGCAGTTTAGCAGAGACGCGTGTAACTGAAAAAAGCTACGTAGAGTTTCTAGTAAGAATTTAGCTTCACGGATCCTAGCAGGTGTTTGTTTTGAAGTAAAATAAGCTTAGGGACAAAGCAGGAAATTCTAACAAAGAAACGAACATTATTCATGCGTCGTAATTACATTTTGCCACTTTCGGTTCCTTTTGATGTTTAAAGGACTTGGTGACATGCACCGTAGAGATTTTTTTGGCGAATTTTACAGAAAATTGGACGTACGCAACGGGAAATCTGTTTACGAACTCCCCTATCAAGCTAAGGAAATAACAGTTAGAACAATTTTAGTGAAAATAAGTATTTTAGCGAACGTACTGGAAGCAGAGCGAGAAGACGACCGGAAACTATATTGTTTATGGAGATGCAAATGTCCACATTGTTCTTTTTTACTTGTGAAAGTTCGGCAATATCGCTTTTATATAACTGCTTGAAAGCGCGGGTAAATAGCATGACGTTTCTAAGACCAAATATCATTGTCCGTCGTCGAGCGAGTGTCTTCAAATCAGAAATGCTTAGTTTATAGAAGCAAAACAACAGCTTGAAGCAAACTTGGTTGCATCTAATAATGAAATGCACCGCTCCAGGCCAATACAACCATTTTCAAGTGTTGAGTTACGGTGTTTGTGTCCATTTTTCGCGCGCCCCCAAAACGGTTAACCGCATGACAAAATTGATAGAAGATTTGACACATTGAATTCAATTTTTCGGTTGCCATCTGAGCGAGTTTTAAAGTTTCTCGTCGAAACAGACTAGTAGCTCAAATCCCTTCATCAATAAATCGGAAACTGGCGAACGGAAATGAGAGATAGATGGCATTGCGGTTGACCCAGTTTGGATATCGTAACCCGCCCAAACATAGGTCATCAATTACATCTATATCAGGTGGCTTATTGGCGAATTCATATCTGGTTTCTCTAACTCTAAAACAAAGAAACAAATCCAAACTCCAACTGTCAATCTTGATCTCGCAATAAAAAAATCTGAGCAAAGTTTAACCTTTTTGACCAATGTGGGTCGATTAACCTGGGAAAGCTTACAAGAAAAAAATATCATCTTTAAATTTTATCGGAAAGTAGACTTTTGAAGACCTTTCTCAACTTTGTGGAAATTACTTATTGTGTTCATTACACAGGAACAAATGCTTTGTCTGCCGTCTTTGTTCTCATCAGAATGAAACCGGAAGTCACATAGAGTTTGACTGTCTTCAGCATGCAATATGGCGAGTTAAGAAACAGATAAACAGACCGAACTCCTAGCTATTTAAGATCGTCAGCGCCGTTTGTCCGAGACTAGTGAAAGGTTCCGGGAGATAAAAAGATGTTCTGGTCATCGACGAATGATCGGGTTTGACTTTGCCACGCGCGACGCGAAGACTTCAAGAATACTCTAAAGTGGGCGTGCATATGACGTCACAAATCACAATTACACAAATACCGGTTCGGTCGTGGGCGGTGATTTTGCATTAGTTCGTTTTTGCTTAAAGTTGTCGTTTGCATTGTCAACTCCAGCGAGTGCTCCACGCGCGAGCCTTTTCACAAGTTTGTTATCGAACTCCCGCAAACCGCGCATCGTTTCAACCAAATTAGGATCAAGGTCTCTGGTTACCCACCCTCCTTGAAGTGTAATGTAACGCGAGTTGGTTTTATCTGCAAGCTGAATGGATAAGTTCACTGGCCAATGTCTCGATCAGTAGGAATCCGGACTTCTGCTGGATACATTCCTTTATTTCCTGATCTTGCTGGCACTTCATTTAGAACACGTAATTTGTGTGTGATTTTGCTGGACATTGGAGAAGAGTCTAGCGCGCTAGTTTGCAATATTATCTAGTAGTATCTTTTCAATCGTCATAGTAGGTGAGATAATAATTTTTTTGTTCTCCTCCACTCTTAAACTCCAAGGATTCTGATACTATATATAAACTGTGTTTTGATTAACGCAATGTTAATTGATGAAAGCTTTATTCATGTTCATTTGGTCCCGAGGGTTTACGTTTTGCCCAACGTACTCTTGTCCTATTTTTTTTTTAGGTCAACTGGTGGTCCCTGTCCGCTATGGTCGCATGATGGCGCTAAGAGTTCATTTACTGGATCTAGCTGACTTTGGGGACGCCTAATCCCGGCGAAATAAATCCAAAGTGTTCTTAAGAGACGTTCATTTGAATGGCGATCAATGTTTGATGGCGGTAGAGACGACAGCGGTCTTTCTACACGAGAACCCTTTGGAAAAGACAATTGTATGGGAAAAGAGGAAAGTCGAAAACGACTCAAAACATCGTACTCGGCCACAAAATACGGTTGGCAAAGTTGACACGATTATAATTTCGGACAAGGATGAATATCATTCAGACTACTGCGTTATCGCCGCCGCCACGAAGCGGGCAAGCGTTCCAAACGCTCGTCAACCGGTCTTGGTGGCGGATCGTGACACAAGACTTCGCTTATCGAGTCCTGCTACTAACAGAACGTTCAATGAATTCGTTAAGAGGTACACTGGGGGATCGACTTCACAAGGAGTTATAACTTCACAACCGAGGCCTTCGCACACAGTGTCAGGCCGGATGCAATCAATACCGATGTGTCGCAGTGATGTACTCCAAAGCAAACATCGTGAAGATGACGATATTAAGTTGTTTTGTTGCAATCAGGACGTGGATTTTCTGATAGACAACGCGACTTGTATGTGCGGGGTTAAAGCGGCATTGTATCATTGCTCTAAGGATTCTTACGATGAAGGCAGGTTATCGGAGCACCCCTGCACTTGCGGTCGCCCGAGAAAATCTTGCGTAGGGAGATGGGGGTGTTTGGCGGCCTGCTGTATCTTCTTACCCTGTCTTCTCTGTTATTTACCACTCAAAGGATGCTCGGGGATTTGTGTTAGTTGTAAAAGACAGAATAGCGCCAGAAAGCGGCGACAAAGAACTCCCAAAGATCCCTCCTGACAGTCTTCATAGTTAATTTATAATTTTATACCTAAGCGGGGTTTCTCGTGTCCTCAAAATGAAATTTGTCTATCAAAATGCATATGCCTTATTTATACAGTCATTGTAAATAACAAAATGTTTAATGAAGACATTCAGAAAGAAGTGATTGTGCTGGTTTGTTTAATCTGGTTCACAACGTCGAGTTGCTTGCCGGCAGTAAAAAACCGCCGCATGGCAAGCCATCGGTGTACATGTACGTAAATTATTTTTTATCAGAGTCGAATAGGGATGTGAGCTTTTTATAGGTATCTGTTGGAAGTGATTGATCTCAGCAGATTTTTTTCGCGGCGAAACTAAACACGTCAGTCACCTTCTACGTTCTCTCCTAAATATTGGGCACATGTGGCTTCTCTGGCTATTAAATTTACAAAGAGAATTTTATGTTTTTATTATTACACGGTTTGATGGATCGCGTCTGTAACTATAGCAAGCAGGCGCTTGTGCGACTATTTTACAGACTCGAAATTAAAATTATTCTACTTTAATTGGCTTATTTGAACAGAATGTGATAATTATAGAGTGTTTCTAGATCGGCATTCATTGCAATGCACAAAAATAAACCACACACTGTTTTGACTAGCTTGAACGATCTGGACATAAAATTTGTCCACAACTAATTCTACATCCAATATAAATTCAAAGCCATACTGCTTTTATAGAGAATTTTAAGTAAACACCATCTCGAGATCAGCAAGACCAAATCTTTATGAAGTTTCTTAACACAGATAAGCAGTGAAGCTTCATCCCTCTTTTGATAATAAGCCCATGTGACTTGGGTTCGTGACCTGTGATTTGGTGCGAGATAGAGTTTCCATATCCCCTTTGGCAAGCCACAACACTGACTACAGTCATTAATATTCTTTCATTGAGATGATGGGAGTTCACAGTTTCATTTCACTTTGTCGTTTCTTATCTTTTCTATTTGAAGTTGCCGTTGACGTTATGATCAATGTTCGGAGTCTTGGCTTTTTGCTGAACTTCCTCTCAAACCATGAATAATTGACCGCGATGTAAATTACTGAAAAAAGGGGGTCTCTAGCGGTGATATTTTGAGAAGTCTGCCACCTTCTTAAAAGGGTACCCGAAATTTAATATCGTTCGGTACTTTCTAGCAGCCTGTATTAAAATGACGAGTACACATGTACACATATACAAAGGTTAAAGTGTGAAGTAACAAATGTTTTTGTAGATTAGAATAAAGACCTTTGCCTGAGAGCGTGTTGCAGAGTTAAGCGCAAAAATGCTCCATCTAAACTTTCGAATTCATATTTTGTATTAAAGCCAGGAATAGCAAGGTCCTCAGTCTGGAAAAAAAATTGTGGGGACATATATATATTTATTCGCAATTCAATATTTACGCAAATGATTTCTTTTACTGGGTTTTTATACTTTGACACGAACAACTTAACTGTGTATGATGTATTTAATACCACTTCGTAAAGCATGTTTTTAAGGTCAGGAAGGAACGAAATCCGGAATTCGGCGTCGTGTTGCGGTTTTAGTTGTGCCTTTTTATCGTCATGATTATTTCTTTAAGAAACCTTGTTTGTACCGTGGGATGTCACGTCTTTCGATGTTGTTATTATTGTTATATTTTATAGCATCCGTTAATATGACATTGCCAATGAGATTCAAGTACCACATATTATTCTAGTTTGAAAATTGGCACCGAAATAACACACACACAAAGAAACCAAAAAGCGTGACGTGCATCTCAGCAATATCTGGTAAAGTGGAAGAACCAACGGAAATTTCTTCCCAGCAGCACCACGGAAAAGCCGGTAGGGCATGAATCACTAGCGAAGAAATGATAGGAAACACTATTCTATTATTTTACGATTGACTTTCACCGATGTTGAACGACATTGCTGTGATTGAGCGGTGATATTGCTTCGGCGGTGCGCGCTTGTGAAAAATTGGAATGACCAATCAAAATGCTTTTCACCGTTGAGAGCTGGTGTGTCGCTTTTCCGGTTTTTAGAAATAATTATTTGGAAATGATCCATTATCCGTTGTCCACAATATAAGCAGTTTACTCCATAGTGGAGAAACTCTAAAGAGGAAACTAAAGTTTAAAAACAGCGGAAGACTATGTATCGGCCTCCAAGAAATGAAAGATCGCTGAGTGAGTTCTTTTTACTAGTTGAATGAAAACAAAATAGACAGTTTTTGTTGAGATATTTTAAGAAAAGGACGGCCAAATGTATGCAAAAGCTATTTCCCTACTCTAATTTAAGCATAATACATACGCATACAAAAAGGAAAAATGTTGTCTATGCTAATTCCGTTATGTTCAGAGCGATCATGGTCTTGAAGTTACTGATAATCGAATATCGAAGAGACTTAAAGAGCTCTTGCTGTCGTTTTCACAGATTCCGGTTTCTTTAGAAATAAAGCACAGAATTTGAAGCATAATAATACACGTGCGCCTGTTTGACAAACGAAGTCTTCTATTTAAATAGTTTCCTCTACCTATTCCCCATTTATATATGTTCCCTTTATCGCAAAATGCCACCGGTCCTAAACGTTCCTTTTTATTGGCTTTTGAACCTTTTACTACTCGAGTGTAAGGGAGGTTTTTGGAACACACGGTGCGTGAGGACATCGGACTCGCCGAGACAAGGCCTTACCTCAGGGATTGCGCTTTCCTGACTAAGACTGAGCTAAGGAAGACCTTGAATAGTGGCCAAAGTAAACATGGGTTTTTGTAACACCGATGTCCATTTAGTCTGTTGCTTAATGGGTGGTAAACTCAGAAGCAAACAAATTCAGGGAAAATTAAAAAAAAAACATTTGAACACGTTTCCTGCGAATGTTTGTCTGGTATTAAACATGTCACTTCAAGTGAAATGGACAAATCGGCCAAGGTTCAGTAATCATGCCAATTAGCTCATTCTCACGAAACAAGCAAGAAATCCTGCGATACAGCAGGCTTAAACTTTTACTACCCTTAAAGCAACAACATTGCTAGACTGGATAATATTTCGTTCCTTTTTTTCTCACTATCAAAAACACCGAAATGTTAATCCTATGTCCTATGTTTTTAACACAGGCAAGGTGGCAAGGGAAAAATATTGAAGACTGATAAAAGAAGTCAGATTAATGCGAGCTAGCTGTTTGTACTCCTTTTTACATACATGTAGGATTTTATACCCAATTTTTTTGCACGAAATTTTGTCGTTTAAGGCGGCACAAATGAAAGGAACGGAAGTAAGGTTATGATGACAGCTGACCCGGATATAGCAGTGTCAGATAAGAACCCCCGGATATACCATTGTCAGATTAGAATTTAAGTCTGCCAGCTTATGGGGTATCAGATGGAACATAGACCTTGTCAAGTGGATACAAACGTTATTTTCTAATGCTTAACTAAATCAGCATTTCTTCAATTGCATTGTGGGTGTGGTTTCATTGGAAGCCGTTTCTTATTTGGCAACTTGGTCTGATTTTCAATGGGTTCTGGTATTCAGTTTGAAGAATTTGGAGGCACACGTCGTTTATATTTTGATTTGAATAAAGAGGCTTCTAATAGGGCCTTGCATTTTGGCTCAGGCACCAACCATCATCAGCCGTGGTACCCGGTGGGGGAGACTCCGCATATGAAAGTGGTGGGGATGTTCGTCGTCTCGCTTAAGAGGTGTAAATTTCGGATTTTGGTCTCAATTAGGGTGTTCTGGGCGAAACGCCATCATGTTAAGCCGTGAAGGTCTCGTTTAGGGTTGCCCGCGAAAAAATATAAAAATATATATTTGATATGTGTATTGTTAATTCTTTTTATTTACTCCATTCATATAATCCAAGGTTTTTCATTTGTCTGTGTTTTAACATGGTCTCCTTTAGGGATCAAAAAAAGCTTCGGCCACGCCCAGATCGGTCTCCTTTAGGGGTTTAATTCAAAATTTCCGACGAGCATTCCCACCCCTTTCATATGCGGAGTCCCCCCGGGCCGTGGTACGTGAGGGAGTTCCCCAGACTTATCCTACATACCTGATGTTTGCAGAGGGTCGGAAGGAGGGTGTGAGTGGGGTCACACTGTGTTGTTTTATTTAATGTCACGGCTAATGTTATTGTCCTGTGTCTAACAGTAACTGTTACGTAAGAGTACAACAGGTTTCAAGTAATAGATGTTGTTTTGATATTCCTCGTTAGACCCTGTGTGAAGAAAAACAAATCCGCTGGAGATAAAAAGCACAATGCCCTTGATCCTCAATTCAAACACTTGCACATAAGTCAGTTCAACAGCCTTTCTTACGTTAGGTGTCACCGAACCCCAAATAGCAAATTTTAGGTGTTATTGTAGTATTCCCCATTAGACCCTCTGCAACGATGATGATGTCACGGCAATTCCTTCTTCAAATGTGTCTTTTGTTTAATGCTGTTTTGTCATGTTAGACTTTAACAGTTTCTTAAGTAAGGCGTTGGCACCGTTCATTATGGTTTTCCCCGTTGGACCCTCTGCAAAAATAATGATATCGCAATAACTCTTCCTTCAAAAGTTATCAATTGTTTTGCGATGTTTTGTCACTTTAGAGTTCAACAGTTTCTTGTTAGGTGTCACCGAGCCCAAATACAGTCACTTTAGGTCAGGGGCTCCCATCGACTGTCTCTACATAAATACATTGAAAACACTTTTTGGACTATCCTGAACACTTTTAGATATCTAGAAATGCAATCTAAGCGACGCTATGTAAAATTTGTATCTGTTCGGTTATCCTAGGGGAAGTTAATTTTTTCGAAATTACAAGGGTTTCAGTGTTATTTTCCCGAAACTTTTAGCTGCAAATTATAGTTTTACGAAAGTGAGAATTTTTCTGGCTCCTCGCTCCATGCATCACATTTTTGAATCCGAAAATTTTAGGTTTCCTTTTTCTACGAGAACATAGCCTAACCTGGGGAGTGAAATGCGAAAAACTAAACTTCAGAAACTCGTAGGGAAGTAATTAGATAAGCTTCGAAAATAGTAAATGAATGGAACAGTCATCTAGAAATTTTAAGCCGTTCTCAAGCAATCGAAAAATCTAGGCCAGACTTGCTTCTCCGAACAGATATTTTACAGAAAACAGTCGTTAGTTGGGATCAATCTTAGCAGCTGGGCACAGAACCTTATATAAAGTGTAAAATGGGGTTGACAGGCCTACACGACTCCCCAGCGCGTGTTTAAAATAGCCTTTCTATAGTTTGGCTCTCACGAGTATGTCTTTGAGCGCCCGCCCTCTTTTATAAGATACGAGGGGCGGTTTTTTGTAGATTTCGCTCAGTAATGGTTGTTGTTCTATTAAATGCCAGTTTTTCATGAGAATTTGCTTTAGGTTTGGCACTGATGGTTGGTATTGTGTGACAAAAGGCAAGATTCGTTGGTTTGTCTTTGGTTTCTGTTGAAGGGCAGTTTCCTGTCTTTGAAGTTCACCTCTGAGAGGGTTGTGTTAATAAGATCCTCTGGGTAACCCCTCTGTAGCAGATGCGCTTTGAAATTTGTAATTTTCTCTTCGAATATTAGTTCGGAAGAGTTTGTTCTGAGGAGTCGGAGGGCTTCCCCTTTAATGAAGCCTTTTTTAACTCCTTGCGGGTGACAGGAAGCAAAATGGGTATACTGAAATGTCTCAGTTGGTTTGAAATGAGTACGCACATCAAGGATTGCGTCTCTTTCGAATCTTTCCCCTTTGTAGATGTAGGTGTCCAGGAATGTTGTTTCCTTATCGGAAATTTCAGCCGTAAATTTGATCGTAGGGTGATGATTGTTTGCTTGTTCAATGAAATGTTTTATTCTGGCTCTGTTTGTAGTCCAGAGCGAGAAGATGTCGTCTATGTAACGTTTCCAAACGAGCGGTTTGAAAAGGCTTCGGCTAAGGATTTCCGTCTCTACCTTGTTCATGAATATATTAGAAAAGGCGACTGCCATTTTCGTGCCCATGGCCGTACCATGTGTTTGAAGGTAGTTTTTTCCATTAAACTGGAAAGAGTTTTCTTGGAGAATTAGCCTGAGCGCTCGTTTTAGTAGTTGTGTAGGGATAGGAGGTTCGTTTCTATAGAATATTTCGTATGCTCTGCATACCGTGTCTATTCCCTCCTCTTGCGGTATATTTGTATACAAGCTCGTAACGTCCATTGAAACAAGTATGACGTCCACTGGGACTTTCGTATTTTCTATGAAACTGACGAAGTCGGTAGTATCTTTAAGATAAGACTTTTGTTGTTGTGCTATCGGCTGAAGGAGTTTGTCCACAAATGATGATAATTTCTCTGTTGGGCCATCACACCCTGATACTATCGGTCTGCCGACCGGGGACGGCTTGTGTATCTTAGTGAGGGTGTAAAATTCTGGAATTCGAGGCGGATTTGGTGTTTGACAAAGCCATTTTTTAGTCATGTCGTCTATGTGATCCCCGTTGTGGAGGTCTGTAATAAGTTGTTTAACTTTATGGTTTGTATCAGTGACCATGGGTGATGCAAGAGGCCTGTTGTTGTCTTTGTTGTCTAGTAGAATTTGGCCTTCTTTAATTTTGTCTTGTGTGTTCATGACTACGGTTGTTGTTCCTTTATCGGCCTTTTTAAGGTTTATTTCAGTGTCACGTTTTAGGGCTCTCAGAGCCTCACCTTCGGCCGGAGGCAGATTATTTTTTGGCTTTGTTATTTCTATTTCTGCAAGGTCGCTCTTAACCTCTTCTAGGTAACTTTCAAGGGCTACTGATCGTTGTATTGGTGGTTCCCATGCAGATTTGACGTGGTAAGGATGGGGTTCGTTGTTTTCCCCTCGAAATATGTACATGAGACGCATTCTTCTTGCAAACTGATCAAAGTCACGCAAGAGTTGTTGTCTGATTTGTGTTTGTTTTGTAACGGGTGTTGGAATGAATTTAAGCCCTTTTGCCAGTAAATTAATCTGGTCATTTGTAAGTTCTTTGTTTGAGAGGTTTTTTATGTGTTTTTTGTTCGCCTCTATAGTGATAGTTGAATGTTTCTGGCGTCTGACCTTTCTGCGCTCTTTGCGCTTATTGGTTGCTAGCCGTTTGGCTTTTAAAATTTGTTTTTTGGCCCCATGTTTGTGGTGGGAGTCAGAGAATACACATGTGTACTTTTGAACTTCTTTATTTTCAATGGCTCCTAGTTGTTGCATCATATTGCCGAACTGGGCGATTTGTGCCTGGAGGTTAACAGCAATTTGCTTTACTGATTCGATCGTTACATTGTTTTCAGCTTGCGCTGCGCGCGCTGGTTCGATCGTACTACAGTTCTTAGTGTTCAGTGCTATAGCCGGTGTGGCTCGCTTTCCTTTCTTGGCTTCGGCCTTAAAACGGCCGATTTCTCGTTGATGGAATCGTATAATCGCATTGAGTGTTTCTTGCTCCGCGTTCTTGCGGATTTGTTTTATCTCTCTCTTGAAGTCCTCGTCCGCTGTTATTTTAGCCCTCGCCCTATATTGTAGGGTTTCTGGGCAGGTTCCCTTGTCCGTGTGCCTTTTTAAAGCTTTTATCGCACCTTCAGCTTGGGTAATCTTGTCCTCCGCGGATAGGCTACGGCTCCGTTTTCGGTTCTCTGTGGATGGGCTGTACTGGCGGCGACGTTTTCGGTACTGCTCTGTCCTTGGTTCGCTTAACAAAACAGTTTTTAAAAAGACTGTTAAGCTTATTCAAAGCTATTACCAAGGGAGGAACTACGCGCTCCAGTCAAAAGCCTCACACTATCTTTAGAAAAACACTAAGCTGGAGTTTACTGAGTCACAATTCAATTCTCCATAGTAAGTTTATGTAGCTTCAGTTTAAGCTGCATTTCACTCTTATAATTTTGGATCTGTAAGTCACTATCCGTGATAATTTAACATTCTGCAAAGAAAACTGACGAGCTGGGCCCAGCGTGATACAGCATTGCAGAAAAACATTACACTCACGGACTAAAGAAAATCGCTTAGATCAGATCCAGAAGGCACTTTGGAGAAAATTGGAACCCTTATTCAGCCGTAACAAAAAAAAGCTTTACGCTTCAAAAGAGGTCAAAGAATATGCGCTTGCATCACAGGGCAAATCCTGCCGACCAGAAAACAATAACTACAGTCAATCGATATATATGTCATGACCTCTCAGTGTGAGACATGCGGCTAAAACCACATTTGCTCAGTAAAATGCAGAACCTTCCAGAGCATAATCTACCCAGCAGATAAAAACAACTTCATTGGAATAAGCAGCATTTTGGCATGAGGTAAAAGTCGTGTAGGCCTACCACCCCCTTTTATTGCTGCAAAAGACTACAAAAACTGTTTACATAATTTTTAAGTGTTAAAGAAGGCGTTCGTAAGAAGGACTTTTAGTAATGAGCTATCTTAATTAAATTGAGCTATTTAGTGACACAGCAACTAAAATAGGGTAATTTTAGTGCAATGGAATATATAAGGTCTTGTATATTATATTCTGTTACTGTTTTTATATAAGGTTCTGTGCCCAGCTGCTAAGATTGATCCGTTAGTTGCCCCTGCTTAGGTGCTATTGTGGTATTCTCCGTTAGACCTTCTGAAAAGATAATGATATCGCAGTTATTCTTTCTTTAAGAGTTATCTACTGCTTTGTGATGTTTTGTCATATTGGAGTTCAACAGTTTTTAAGTTCGGCGTCGGCACCGAGCTCTCCAAAATAATGTTAGGTGTTATTTTGATATTCCCGTTAGACCCTCTGCAAAGATACTGACAGGTCTGTTGGTGATAATAGGGAGTGTAATGCTGCAAAAAAACACCATGTGGCCTTCATTCAAACAGTCACGCTTATACTTCAGTTCCACACTCCTTAGTTCGGTTTAAATATTCGAGCTCGTTATTCTCTAGAATACATTTTTCATAATTGATCTATTGTTTTGGGATTTATACTCTGGAAAACCTATATATCCCTTTTTAGGTCTGCAATTTTCCGCCCATTCCTAATCTTCTTTCGAGTAAAGTTCTCTTGTTAAGTATAAAGGCATAACCGCCTTAACCTAGTAACCTAATTCCCACAAACCAGTCAGCAAAACCTGCAGACTCGACTGGTCTCTTTTCCTTTCTTTTTTTCTCTCTCTTTTCCATATCTTCTACTTATCGTGGCGTTCATAGACGCAGCGGACCTGCCATTTTGGCGGGAAAAAGTGCTGTAAAATGTACCTTAACATAAACCGATCCTTGAAAACGCCGTGACATAAGCCAAGTATGGAGTTGCTCTCTATGGCCGTTATGGTCTCCTGAAAGCGCCCCCATTGACAGAGGAAATGGGATTCGTTTTTCGGGAGAATATTGGTCCCTAGGCGTGGCTATTTTGTAATACTAAGGACAAACTAAAGACAACGTATCAGGAAAGCTGCTGAATGCAAACAATTGCAAAATGAAATCTGAAAGTTGTCGACTCATGTAAGTGAATGCAAAACGGTCTTGGATTCTGGATTCCTTGCCGTGGATTCCGGATTCCGGGTATTGGATTACAGTTTTTGTTGCTGGAATTTGGATTCTAAATTCCTTTAGCTGTATTCTGGATTCCAAATGCCATGATTCCGGATTCCACAATTAAAATTTTCCCAGATTCCGGAATCCCCCGGCGATTCTCTTACCTAGGGCGAAACCTTGACTTCCGTCACTATTATATCATAGGAATATCCTTTGTTGTAGAATTTGTTTACGAGGTGTGTTCAACAAAATATTCAGCCCATATGACAAAATAATCATTAGGAATACTCCCTTAGAATTATATTTTCCAGTCCTAGCAAAACGTCGTATGGGTATAGTTACTAAGGTTCCTTGAAGTCGTGCATTTTTTAATGATAACCACCATGTTGCTCACGCAGTGCGCTTACAAACAGATCAGAAATTACAGCAACACTAGTTAAGGAAACTCACGGGTATAGTGCAACACAGGAAAACCGCTTTCAGGCACAATGCGGAAGTTGAAGTCTGATTCAAACGTCCCACTTAACGGAGTTAACGGGCGAATACCAACTAGGAATGTATAGGTGTCGTGAGACACCACAAAATGACAACAAGGAAATATCTCACACTTATATTTTATCACTTTTGGTCTCCGAAGAGTACCTCGCCGCTTCTCATAGCAAGGTACCCAAAACGTCCCTAGAGGCAAAAGCGAGGGAAGACGACTGTATTCGCAGGCTACAAATAAATACGAACTTATAATTTATATTATTATACATTGCACTCATTTTCTGTCTTCTCATTGCCTGAGAGCCTACAGCTAATTTTGGAAATCAGGGCAATCTACAGATTAGTTATCTACTAGCAGATAACTGACTACTCGGTAGGTTACGCGCGCAATGCATGATTTCCAATAACAATTACATCAATCGAGGTTCTATGCGACGGTGTGTTTGTCGTTATTTTCCTACAATGTATGATAAAATAATTATTAGATTCGCTTTTTGTGATATCCTAAATAATCAAGGTCTCGTTACTATGCTATCAGCCTCGGCCTTCGACTCGGCTGATAACACTTACCTTGACCTTGATTATTCCGGATATCACATTAACTTCATCCAATAATTGTTTATAACCCAGAAAAAACGGGAATTAAGCACATAAGATATTATTTAATAGCTATTTTCAGGAAGATAATTGAAAGTCATCTGACAGCTCAAGGCTATTCAATGTTTCGCTGCTTCTGGAAACAGATTTACGGCAGTCATCTTGGTAGGGTCTCGCTGCAGACACGCCTTAGATAATCCTTTGCTGGCGACAAAAATATGCCAATAAAGATTCCGGGAACGAAATGTTGTTGCACTTTCATCTTTCTCTGCTAGCCCTTGCACCTAAGATGGTGTGAACCTGCCCTCTCCACCAAGGCCGTCAAACAGGATCACAGCCTCAGCTTCATTCTCAAAAGCCTGATGATTCTCTTTTTCAGTTCATTGTACTGAATAGCACGCTTCAAGTGATTTCTTCTCTTTTTCTCTGGCCGCAGGTTTATCACCAAAAACTGACGGTAACGGGGCTTCTGACGTCTCGAGCCTCTGCTTCCCTTGATGGGAACTCCACCCTTGGAGAATCCGATAAACCACTGAGGATACTTGACAGATTCGAACTCGGAGTAACCACTGTTTGCTTGTATTTGTCGGAAGATACATCTCTTCAGGGTTCGATTTTTTTGTTTCTGCAACTGATAATTAGGGCTAAAATAAGTACTATGGATAATTGATACAGAAAGGATTTGTAATAGTGATAGGAATTAGCGGAGTACAGTAAAAATCCGAGAGTAGGAACCTGGTTTTTAAGAACCTGTTAGCCTAAAATTTGCTAGTGAGGCACCCTCTATACAAGAACCTGTTTAGCCTAAGATTTGAAACAGGTTCTTCTTTTCGAAAATCTATAAAAAATTCTGTGCACTTGGGCAAATAAGATAGGTCAGCATTCAGGATCTTCTTTGAAGATAACTGGTGCCTTATCACTTGAATTGGAATGTAATATTGTATGTAGATTTTATATAAGGAATAAGCTTAATAACCCTAAATTCTCTTAGCTACAATGTGTTTTCTTATGAAAATAAGGACCTACGTAAGAACCTAAATAGCCTAAATTTGTGATTATTATCATTTGAGAAGAACCTGTTCAGGCTAACTTGGCGGGAAAATGCAGATTCATACTCGCGGGTTTTTTCCTGTACGATTCCGCGGAATAATCAGGCATGAAATTACTTGCCAAGTAATTTCATTTAAAATTACGATTTTGACTTACTACCCCGATTACACCTGAATGCGACGCAAGGCCTCATTAGCAGTTAAGTGTGAGTCATTAGAATGCATGTGAAGTAATTGAATCAGTCAAGTTTCGCCCATTTTTACCTTTTCAAGCTCAAGCTGTACAGCCTCTTATTCATAATTTTTACATTGATTTCGACTAGTTATCATGGGCTATGTAGTTGAGTTTCATTGTCTAGAGAAACATTTGCTTCTTGATTTTCATTCGCTATATTAAACTGACCAATTTGACCCGTCCGATTTCAAGCTCTAATGATAATGGGAAGGATTAAGCAAAAAAAAAAAAAAAAAAAAAAAAAATGGACTGTTAAGAACCGATCACATTTGAGCATTTTGTTATGGACGCAATTACAATGATTACAGCTTGTCTGGGAGCAGTGGTTCATTTAGGGTCGGCCAGTCGGGCACCGTACATTACATTTATGCCCGAAAAAGAAAAAAGGAAAACTTAAAATTCTCTCAAATTCCTCTCACTAATTTCTTTATTTTACCGTATACTCCAATATTTAGTTGTTTCGTTTTAACTATGTAGAAATCATGACTCTCCCAGCAATTACGTAGTCTTATTTATAACCTTGCACATTTGAGCACGGGCGATTGCCTATAACCGTGTTATGTTCTGGAACCCCTACCATTATATTTCAAATACAAAAATAGACGCTTTAAATCTCCCAACTAAGTGATTAAAGTTTTTTTCAAAGGTGGATTAGAAAAAAAATCAAAATAGCATGACAATCGTGCCGCTCACCGTGGGAGTTTACTCTCTCCTGGTCGTGGGCAGTTCATACTGAAGGACTTTATTAACTGCAGCGGGGCATTTATAACCGAGGAGAGGGTTAAATCGAGCAGATACGGTTATCTGTCATCGTTTGTTTGCCAAAGTTAACATGAGGCTGCCTCATGTGTTTGGGTAAGCTGTCCGTTGTCCCATTTGGTACGCTTTAAAGAGAATATCACGCAATAAACAGCATGACGCACTAGACCGCGGGAGGATAACTTTTGGTATTCATTGCATGAATAGAATCTCATGCGGTGAAAACGAACAATTACTTCACCCTGATAGGGCGAATAATCTAGACACCTACTCGCACGCGTGCACGCGATAAATTTCCAGTCGTTATGATAGTTATAAAAACACCGCTATGGACCTAACTTTTATTTTAATTCAGCTATTTTTACACTTGGTACAGCCGAGATCCTGTGATGTATTTTCTAAATTTTCATAAACCCGCTAAACCCATAAGCCTTTGCCTCTTTTTTTTTTTTGCGAAGAAATTTTCGAGAGGCTGAAAATTCTCAATAATAAAAGTTAACATGGATCTGACCGTGAACAATGCTTCAAACTTTTTGAATATCTAAGTGGTCCTAAGAAGTAGTTTGGCTTTATCTACGTTTGTCGTAGAGGGTTTTAAGTTGCTTTTCAATTTATAGTCTTGTAGTTACTGACTGCCATCCATCAGCTCAGTACAGTAGGCGTAAAGGAATTCAGAACTTTTTCAAATAAGAACGTTTAATCGCCGGTGGCCAAATCGCTCCCAGATCAAAGCTGCGCCACAATTTCTTTAACAGCTGAGCTTAGCCTGCCTGGTGATAGAAACGACGCGCGCGGGAGAGGAGGACAGAGGCAAGGTAAGAGGTAGCTTCCTCCCTAATCGCGCGCTTCCTCGTTCCTCGCGTCACCTTTTTAGATGCGCCCTAAATTTCTCCTGTGCCTGCTCAGCTTAGCGCAGGCTAAGCTGAGTTTGCCAAGATCCGCAAAAGGCCCTCCTTGAACAATTCCGAATATGCTGGCTTAAAACGGCTAGCTCATAATGTTTCGTGTTTCGGCCCAAATTAGTTAAATATGATATTTTTTAAGTCGCTAATGTTGTCTTTGGGCGTTAAAATTCACCAGAAACCATCGGCTCCTGCCAGAAACCCATTTCCCGTAAAAAAAAAATGACAGAACTTCTTTGCATATGAACCACGGATTTTAATAGAAATTTTGAAAGATTCGACACCAAGTTCCTTAATATTACCTCTTAACCACTCCTATAAATCAATGATTAGGATAAATGTTAAGAGATCTTAGCAAGAGAGCGGCACTCCCAAGTTAATTCGCCCAGAAAGAAATTAAATTGACCAAGGTCGTAATAAAAATAAAAAAGTCTTTTGTCTTAATCAGGATAGCGAAGGAACGGGTTAAGGGCCAGGGTTTTAAGGCCTCAGTGGCACACTCCTACTCCCTAGCTGCCCAAACTTCCTTCAAGTACCGCACCCATTGTTCGCCCGCGCAACAAGAAAGTGGCTGTGATTACTGAATGAAAACCTAGAGAGATTAAACTTCACGTATACGAGAAACGGCAAACGTCAGATTCAAGTTGAGAATTTCTCAAAATAGAAAATAAGCAGATAAAAACTGCTCAAAACAATTCTTATGGATAAAAAATTGCGTAAATCTACTAATTTATGCGTAGAAATAATGAACAGGAAAATGACAAGTAAAGGGGAAACTAGTACAAATTAGCGTTTGCCGTTTGACGTAAACGTGATGTTTAACCTCTCTGCTGTTAACTGAGGAATCACGAGTTGTTAGCGATTGCACACAAGGTGCAGACCTTACAAGAATTTTAGGCAAAGGATTGACCGATTTGTGTTATTTATACTGACTAATTAAATTAGCAAAAAATAAAAGTTAAAAAAAAATTTTCTTACCCTGGCTACAAGTTCTCCTTTTTTATTCATACACAGATAGCGATTTGTCTTTTCCGAGCGAATCTTCAACCGACCAGTTAAGTTATCTGACTCAAGAACCAATCTCGCTGCAGGATAAAAAAGGCGTGGCATTAGCAAGCTGGCAAAAAGGAACTGAATGAAATGAAAAATATAAAAGAAAATGCAGGAAGACATGGAAACAACAAAGGGGAGAGATCCTATCTTCTTTTAAATTTGTATTTCGGCAGTTTACGTCATCTTCAATGTATGTTTCATTCCTTTCACGGGTTAAGATGAACTTAACAAATCGGCCTGCTCCCATTCTATGGGTCTTTATAGCTCAGTTGGTAGAGCACTGCAGTGCTATTAACACAGAGGCCATGGGTTAGAATCCCGTTGAAGTCCCGAAAATTTTTTCGGGATAAGTTGCAATTGCTTAAATTGCAATAAATAACCACTGCGACGATCATTTTTCATTTAAACACGGGAGAGTATTGAGCACATTATAGCTTGAAGTAAATAAAACTAAAATTAATCAAGATTTAGCTTTCGGGACAAGAATACGTTGGCCTTACCCACATTTCATACGTAACTTAAAAAAAATGTTCTCCGGTATGAGCTAGGATTGATGACGTCAAATGTTTGAGTGAAACTGGATCAGCCATCCACCAAGAGTGGAAGAAAAACCAATCAGAAAAACCAGAAAAAAATCAAAATCAGTATGAAGATGCAATGATTAGGCTAATTTTCAAAATTCGAATTTGATTCGAGATTAATGGTCAGACCATAGATCGAGAAAGCATAGCTGTTAACGAAATGCTGGGTTGCCTTGTAAGACTTGTAAACACCACATTTTGTGAAACGTTCGTTGTATTAGATAGTCAGTTTATTTGGCGTTATATATTGTCAAGTTAGAGTCAAAGTACAAGCGTATACCAACGCAGGCTTCAGGTTTTGATACCGTTGTTCCTAAAAGGAACCGATAAATTCGTCTTAGGTATCTTGCATTTATTTGTAAGTCATTTTTCACGTCGTAGTCGCATGCTGACGTATTTTCTTGTAACTGCTTCTCGAAAGCTGCGAAAAAACTGCTGGCTATCAGAGTAAGGTTTATAGGTATGGTGTAAAGATAATCAGATAACCTTTCTACACTTGTTCGTGGTTAATTACTCGTTTAAAAAGGCTGTTTTGTTGTAGTAAACAAAACTTCACCCATCAAAAGTAGAGAGTGGACTTTTGATTTCAGAGATCCAAAACCCGCAGTTGTGTTAGGATTGTACGCTTCTTTGTAGCCTGAGAGTCATTTCATAATGCCTCCGTTTCCCTTAGAAAGAAGATCAGCACTCAGGGCTCCGCTCCGTACTGCAACCTCTGCTTCGCCGCATATCTAGCTTATGGACTTCTGAGAAATGAGCCTAAGTGTCTTCACGTTTGTTTTCTTTGCATTTAGAGGGAAACAGAACTGCCTTCGAGGAAATATCAAGGACACCAAATAAAAACCGCTAAAGCTGTTGTAACATGGTCTATAGTCGTCATAGATGATAAAAGATTGTTTCTACGAGGGTAGTTGTGATGAATATTCACCGCTGACAAGTATTTCAAAAACAATTATAAAACTTATGAATAGCAAGTTCGTCCAATACTTATGTTGTAAGAGTGATTTTGAAATATTTTCTGCAGCAGGACTGATAAACCGGTAGAAAAACTGAGAGATTTTCAGTTCCACCTCTATTGGCGCGGCATGGCTTCGAACCACGTCCGAATTTGTTCAGAATTATTACCATTTATCTAGCCGGATGTTTGAAAACGTTACTGCCAAAATAGACCTCCTCCGTCAAGCTGGTTTTTATCTATAGTAGCCAAGAATATAAAAATTTAGGGTGCAACCATTACTTTTTTCTCATCTCCTTCTTTCTTTCGTCTCGCTCTTCCTATCTTCCTTTCCCTTTTCCTTCGCTAGTGTGATTTTCTGGCTTATTGGACGAAAAAAACCCTTTTCTCTTTTGGCGTTCCTTTTCATTTGAATCGCTGCAAATTTCGGAAGGTAAGTATCCAAAAATCTTGAAATAATAACAGTTTTCTTGACTCATTTGAAAAATAGACGATTTCACTGAATGCAGTGTACGCGCAAGGCATATGAGAAAGCAAAAAGAGAAAACAGGAAGTAGACATGGAAAGTCAAAGGCCGGGGTTGGCGTGGTCGGCACAAAATCACTAACAGGAACGATTCGAGCAGGATGGGTTAGGTTGCCATATGCCCATTAATTATGGTTCCTGCTGCGCGAAACATTGAATGTCAACGGTTAGTCATACTGAAAAAATTAGAGTTTTGCCGGAATCGTTAGAATAAGGGATTGCGTCGCACAATTGACCCCGAGCAAAAATCCTGCTTTTTCGTTTTGATAGGCTATGAAAGCTGAGTAAACAGTGATATGTACTGGGTAATTGATTAACAGTGAAAAGAAAGAAAGTGTCAGGTATTTTCGCTCCGTACCTTTAAAAATCTTAACTTACTCAAAGTAATCACTATTTACTTGATTAACTGTCTTCTGCAATTTCTCTTGGTTTTAAAACATCACTGGAATCAAACAAGTTTCGGAGGTTTTCTGATTCATGAAAAGTTCCGTCACTTTTCGAGTAACAGTCAAACATGTGCGGCCCATTTGTTTCTTCCACCTGCGGTGCAACCGACAAAACCATTAAAGACCCGGAATCGGCCCTCAATTTTCCTTTGGCTTTTCCTTTGCGCCTCAAAAAGATGATTTTCTTTCGGTGTCAAATATTTATTGTCGGCGCTGGTAATCGAGCCACGAGGTGCGCCCAGCAATTTCCTCCACAGGACTCCTACTAGCCGCAATGAATTTGTTCGCACGTACTTGAAAAACGTAACTGCTCTCAGTCTAATACAGAGCTAGTTATGTTCCAAATTTTTGTTGTAGAGAAAGATTAATGGTATACATGTACTTTTAACAGTGCAATGAGAAAGGTTATTTGATTTCGTGCTTTTTTTTAATTGACGTTTTATAATAGCTTATAATGTTATCAAAAGATCTCGAAACACGAACGTAATCGCTACAGTTTATCACGGCCTAATTAGATCACGACAAACCACGACTTATTAAATGTACATTCGAGTTCACTCGGCAATGGAGAAATAGTGTTATGTTGTTAAGTTGCCAATAAAATATTTTCTCTCAAAGCATGAAGTTTTGATAGCCTACAAAATTTTCTTGTTTTTTCTGCTAAAGTAATTAATGGCCGTGATTTTATAAAAACAAACTAAGGAAATCAAGGTTAGTTGTTGCTCAAATGGTTCTAACATTTTTTTGCGTGCAACTTACCGTATTCAGAACTCTTGTTGCCACGCGCATTGACTGCCGTGGCCTCCATCTGAATATGCTTGGAAGATGCCCTTGAATATAGACGAACTAGCCGCTTAACGGGAGGAGTGTTGGGATCTGACTTGTCGCATTGAATTTTTTCCCATATCTAGACAACGGAGAAAAAAATAAACGTTATTACGATGAAAAGCTTTTTCAGAAATGTGACCCAAACTAAACTTACCGGTATGGAGTCATCTTCGTATGGACACTTCGATCGATGACGAGCTGCACTGGTTATAGAAATTAACGGAAGGCTAGAAAAGATTTATGTGAAGATATTATCAGAATCACACGTGTGGGCTGTTATCTGCAACAGTCCCCCTTTCAAATTGTCAACTTACAGGATTAAAATAAGCCCACAAATCCAATTCAAGGGTGACCGCCTGATCTCCATTGTCGAGTTGTGCGGTGTAGTTGCTGACTACTCACTCGAATGTAGAAACATCCGATGTCGCGATTTTGCGAGAAAGTCTCAACAAATTGCCCGCTTTTATACTGTTTGTTACTTCATCTCAAGGGGAGGTATTCTCGTCATTTTATCGCCTTGCCCTGAGTGTAAATGAGAAACCGTCAGAGCCGATATCAGTGGGATTTCATCAGTCGTGTCCTGTTGCATTTAGCCCCTGAGGTGAAGGATGCTTTGGCTTTGTTTGGTTTAGTAAGACACACTGTTTTTCTTTACGATAAATTTTGAGGGCGGCTTGTCAAGAATATTTAAGTAAAAACCAAAGTTAAAAATTTTCCGGAATGTGTGGTACATTTGACTGAGTTGGACAGGAAGTATATATTTTTTTTAGGTGGCATAACACTGAATGAGATGGGAACATGATCACCGCACTGCAACCTCTCTGGGTTTGCAATAAAGGAGAGCACATTAACAAATGCTTTTTTAATGACTATATAATATTTTATCTCTTTATCGTCTCCTAGTATTAAGTAACCTACACGCTCAATTGAGAGAAATTGCTCAGTCCGACTTATTACAGTGTTGAATAATGAACCCTTCTTGTTTCAAAAGCTCAGGTTTTCTTTCACCAAATAAGCTCAACTACAGCACAGTTCAGGTTGTCTATTTTTTTTTTCAAGCCTTCCGTTATTTAATCACACTTTTGTCGTTAGTAATAGGCCTTAATTTTGCTTTCTTTTTTGTACCTGGAAGAAGTGAAGAAAACTAGTCTGATCGTGTTCAGTAAGACACACCATTGCAGGAAAACTGCAGGAAAAGTTATTCCCGCAGCAATGGCCCGTTTTTCTTTAAGTTGTTTAGCAGATGGCGATACAGATGTGAATTAAAAACATTCGGCATATGAAGAGTTCTGAGTGCATAAAACTTTCTGTCAACGTCTGCCAAGTAGTTTTCTCGTTATTTATGGGATTAGCGTGGATATTTGCATGTGTCAAAGATCCGGACCGTATGCTCACTGTTTAGATACACAGAAGTGGAACTGCAAGGGTATTTTGGGTATTCCTTTTGCTTCCAAACTAGTATGGCAGCTTCATAATCAATTAGACTAGTATTGTAGCTTCTACTCCTTGTTATCGGTAACCTTTTCAACTGCAATTTCCGGTGTTAAAACGTTCAATGTTTTACACTCTCTGTACTCCGCAGAAGTCACAGAACCGATCAAATATCTTTCTACATCAAGAGTACTGTTAGGACCCCATTCACCTCTATCCTGCCACAGTCATTTGCGGAGTGTATGGTATAATGTATTCATTGCATATTGCCACTTTTGTACATACGGCTGTCTTTAAGCTTCGTTTGTATTAAAAAACGATAAAAGCATAGACCGCGAGCCGTGTGCTATTTTCCGTTTGACAGAGTCACAGTAATTTACATAATTTTACTTTTTCGCCTACCGCGCATGGCTCTGAGCAGCTGAGAAAAGGAGGATGACCGCTTGCGGTCTAATAAAAGCGGCGACCTATTGTGAGATCTCCATCTTTTCCGCCAGAAAAAGTAAGACGGCATAAAAACTTTGAATCACTGCAAGGCACTGGGCACACCCTTATACCTACTGTGCGTGAAAACCTGGCTCTAATTAACCTGTTTCTTATTTTTGCTAGTGAAAAATCTGCTTGAACAAATAGCTCCTCTTTGACTCAGTTGACTGGGAACCTGGCGGCACGCAATAAAACACTTGGTTCTCCAAAAGAGGGTGTTGATGTAAATCTACATAATGAAAGCTCAGCTCATCAGTAACGGTTGGTGGCAAGCTGATCTTCGAGTCCTATCAGCACCCGCGTTTTTATTAAAAAAACGTCTACACCTTGGTCGAAGTAGCCTTACCACCCAAGATTATACTGTATTGTTGTGACCCATTTACTTTGTTATACTGGACAAAGAATGCTTTGATTCCTACGCAGATGTTGCTTTTCTCCTGGCGCTACGCTCGATAGGTTTCTGCAGTCGCGTGGGTTACTTTTGCGGGAGTAGAACCGGGAAAATTGAAATTAATTCGCTCTCGAGTCTTCTGAGTCGGTGTGAAATTGTTTTTTATATGACAAAGATAGGTTTAATAGAAAAAGCAGCCATAAACTCTAATAAACTCTTCATGTCCATGCGGCTTTCTCGTGAGAAAAAACCAGGAAGTTGTACACCTTTTATGCAGCTCACTAGCCGCCGACCCGGTAATTACATCATTGTGACAAACAGGATGTTCCAATTATTGGCACTTCTTTATTAGAAGTTTTGTCTGCTTCAATATTGACGGCGTTTTTGAGATGTCAAGGGACCTAAAAGAGCTGTTCATCATTGGTAGATTCGAAGTTTCTGTAGTACAAAGTTAAGAAAGTCTTCATTACACCTGCTCCAGGGAAACCAATGGGAAATGTGTGAAAAGAAAGTGAGTGTGGATTTCTGGGCTATGGAATTATTCATGTATCGTGTTTTTGTTGAAGGCCATCTTTGCTACAACTTATTTCTAGTAACTCTTTGATATCCTTTTGTTTTCCACAGACAATTGGTGCCAGATGCATGAGACCTGGGTCGTATTAAAAGGACCCATCACTGTAAGTTTCGGCTTGTTCTTTTTGTATTTGTTAGTAAAATGATAGATGATAGCAAACCGTGAAGCAGCCCGCACATTCCGCCGCACGCTGTTGGTTCAGACTTTCATATTCGTAGCATGTGGGCCGAGTGGGCAAAAGAAAAACTTTCACCTCTTTCTACTCCTTTTCCTTTGCTCTCCCACGTAAGAGCTTCCGCATCACGTTAATCTAGGTCTTAATCGACTCTCATGTACTCCTAGACGTAATAATTTCCTAACATAGTCAGACGAGTCCCTTTTTTATTTCAGTTTATTTTATTGTTTTTGGAAACAAAAGAGGAATTCGTTGAAGCGGTGGAAAAAAATATAGCGGGATGCGGGATTTACTTGGGAGGAGCGGGAATGCGGGATTCCGACACCCTACCCCTCCCCTCTTTCCAGACCCTTTTGTAAGCGCTGGATCAATTTATAAATTCCTTTCGACAAAAAAAAGTGTGCTTTTAGTACGCGTTTATAGCTCGATTTGAAAAAAGACTGGAGAATAAAACAAAGAGCCCCAGTAAGGTACGATTTAACCTGCGTAACTGAAGCGTTGGTTGGCGGAGCAAAGAAGACCAAAGAAAGACCGAGGAACCGGGATTTCCAGGTTAGGTAACGTGAGTAATGAAACGTCCCCGCTCTTTTACTCGCGTCATTTTTCGCGCGGCCTTTGACTCTCGTTCCTCGTTTTTTGCTCCCGAAACCGCTATGTACGATTTTCGATGTTCTCAGTTAAATCTGGATTATAGTTAACTATTAGGGTTAATTATTAATTAAAAGGACTAATGAACAACAGAGATCTTTTACGGGTTAGTGTAAAATGGGGTTGACAGGCCTACACGACTCCCCAGCGCGTGTTTAAAATAGCCTTTCTATAGTTTGGCTCTCACGAGTATGTCTTTGAGCGACCGCCCTCTTTTATAAGATACGAGGGGCGGTTTTTTGTAGATTTCGCTCAGTAATGGTTGTTGTTCTATTAAATGCCAGTTTTTCATGAGAATTTGCTTTAGGTTTGGCACTGATGGTTGGTATTGTGTGACAAAAGGCAAGATTCGTTGGTTTGTCTTTGGTTTCTGTTGAAGGGTTAGTTTCCTGTCTTTGAAGTTCACCTCTGGGAGGGTTGTGTTAATAAGATCCTCTGGGTAACCCCTCTGTAGCAGATGCGCTTTGAAATTTGTAATTTTCTCTTCGAATATTAGTTCGGAAGAGTTTGTTCTGAGGAGTCGGAGGGCTTCCCCTTTAATGAAGCCTTTTTTAACTCCTTGCGGGTGACAGGAAGCAAAATGGGTATACTGAAATGTCTCAGTTGGTTTGAAATGAGTACGCACATCAAGGATTGCGTCTCTTTCGAATCTTTCCCCTTTGTAGATGTAGGTGTCCAGGAATGTTGTTTCCTTATCGGAAATTTCAGCCGTAAATTTGATCGTAGGGTGATGATTGTTTGCTTGTTCAATGAAATGTTTTATTCTGGCTCTGTTTGTAGTCCAGAGCGAGAAGATGTCGTCTATGTAACGTTTCCAAACGAGCGGTTTGAAAAGGCTTCGGCTAAGGATTTCCGTCTCTACCTTGTTCATGAATATATTAGAAAAGGCGACTGCCATTTTCGTGCCCATGGCCGTACCATGTGTTTGAAGGTAGTTTTTTCCATTAAACTGGAAAGAGTTTTCTTGGAGAATTAGCCTGAGCGCTCGTTTTAGTAGTTGTGTAGGGATAGGAGGTTCGTTTCTATAGAATATTTCGTATGCTCTGCATACCGTGTCTATTCCCTCCTCTTGCGGTATATTTGTATACAAGCTCGTAACGTCCATTGAAACAAGTATGACGTCCACTGGGACTTTCGTATTTTCTATGAAATTGACGAAGTCGGTAGTATCTTTAAGATAAGACTTTTGTTGTTGTGCTATCGGCTGAAGGAGTTTGTTGACAAATGATGATAATTTCTCTCTTGGGCCATCACACCCTGATACTATCGGTCTGTTAACCTTAACCTTATGCGTTAACCTTATGTTAACCTTATGCGTTTTCATAAGTTCCATGAAAGCACAGTTAATTAAAGTAACGTATTCTGCTAAAATAAACTAGGAGCAGAATGACCTTGTTGATCATCGCATTACCTGAGCGGGTAGAGGAACAGAGAGGAAGGGCTGAACAGTGGAACGGTGAGTTTTTTGGTCTTTTTTATTTGATTCCAAAACGTTCATCTTCAGAGGCGTTGTGTTGTAAGCCAATAATTCATTAGAACAGTGATTTTTTTCTGAGTGACACCTATAATTTCAGCCTTTTTAAAATCAGTAACTTTTGCAGTGAATGGTGAGGTTTATGTAAACACTTCGGGCGTTCTAGCCTGAGTTGGCAGGCGTTAACT